CTTAAATTGCATATCACGGCAGACATCTCAAAATACATAGTCTTCTGGGGGCTCAGCATATATTAATACATTTTGGTAGAGAGGAATATAGGCCTACTGTCATATAGGTTATGTTATCGGGCATCCTTCTAATTCCCTTGAACAACCAAGATTGAACTTTTGAACTCTTTATAATTTCTCTTTATCTAGTCCAGTTAAAGTCCAGGGGAGGAAGCCCCATCATAGTAAAGAGGATACTAATGTGATGTGTGTAGTTCTTCATAGCCTCTTCATTTTGCTCTCAAAGTGCACGGAATTGATGGATTTTTAACAGAATGTAGAAAAAAATTCTCCCGGGGGGGGGGGCATGCCCCCGGACCCCCCTAAAGGGGCTGTGTTCCCCTTGGGGCTAAGCCCCCCTTGTTCTTGAAACCTAGTGACGCCCCTGCTTGGAACTATATACCTTGGATGCCATTTTTGCTCAATCTCTTCTTTATCGCTGAGTCATGTACACTGAGCCTAACTGAGACAAGGGAAGCAATTCTTTCGATATCGTCCTGAGTTTCTTTATGACCTCCTGGATGTGTCGTTGCTGTGCTCTGGGATCATTTTTGTCGGCCGGAAAGTTGTTGAGGGTTCACAACTGTTCCATGTTTTCTCTAATTGTGGATAAATGGCTCTCACTGTGGTTCGCTGGAGTCCGATCAGGATTGACTTTGTAACCCTATCCAGATTGATAGTCACTTACTCACCTTCTCCTCTGTATTTGAGTGCCTTTAGATCGGGCTGAAAGGTTCTATTGAAATGATTTCTTGATCGAACAGGTCTCGAGGTAATCAGGCTTGGTTGTGGCCAGTGAAAATGAAGTCAGTGTTCCAAAAGATTTGATTAGCCACAGTTAATTTGATGATTTAACAAAGTGGTGACTTACATTTTCACAAAGGGCCAGGTAGCACTGAAATGTGTACTGGTAATTATTCCTTCACTTAATTGATAGAATAATCATTTAAAAATGCATTTTACAGTCTGTTTACTTGTGTTACCTTTGTCTATTTGTTTGATGATCCTTAACATTAAAGTGGGGAAACTATGCACAATAAATAATAATTTGAGAGGAGGGCAAATACTTTTTCATAGCACTGTAAGAGAAACAGTCTTTAGATGTACATTTGAGCATTGTCTGGTACTTTGTGACAATTACAATTAGTGCAATTGTGAGATTAACTATAAAGGTATTTACAACGAGAATATTAACACAATTTTGATTCATTAATGCCCTAATGAATAAATGTAATAAAACTAATCGTATGAACCATGATAATTTGATTCATTTTCTACTCCACCTGAAAGTCTGGCTAATAAAACGTCATCCAGCCATCCATCCATCCACCCATTTTCGAATCCGAAGGGTAGCGGGCATGCTGGAGCCTATCCCAGCCACCTCTGGGGAGGAACATGGCAATAGAGAAGTCGCGAGAGAATTTAAGATAAACAAATCCATGGTTCGCAAGTGGAGGAAGCAGGAGAATGAACTTCGCCAAGTCAAGGAAACGAAGCTGACTTTCCGCCGAAACAAGGCGTAGTGGCAGGGTTGGAAGACAAACTCGAGCAATGGATTCACGGTCACAGAACAGCCCGGAAAAACGTCTCTACAGTCACCATTTGACTGAGGAGAAAAACGCTTGCAGAAGAAATGAAAATCAAACATCTTCAAGGAGGTTCGTCTTGTTGCTTGTTATTCGTTTTATGAAACACCGCCAACTATCCATCCGCGCAAGGACTACCGTGGCGAGCAACATCCAGCAAACTACAAGGAAAAGCTAGCCACCTTCCGCTTCTATTGCCAAAAAAAGATTGCCGACAAACACATCCATCCCAACCACTTAACTAACATGGATGAGGTGCCGCTCACTTTGGACTTCCCGGTGAACTACACTGTCAAAAATAAGTGGACCAGCATGGTAGCGATACGGACAACTGGGTACGAGAACTCTGCTTTTACTGGTTGCCACATTAATGGACAGAAACTGTGCCACCTTTGGTGATTTTTAAGAGAAAGAGGCTTCATGAAGGAAATCTAACCGCTGGTCATCGGTGTAAGCAGAGCATTCAAAGTGAAGTTGCGAGCGGCGTGGGAGCAATGGATGACAGATGGTGACTACAGCTTTACAAAGACCGGAAGGCAGCGCCTGGCAAGTTACGCACAATTTGTGAATGGATTGCGGTTGCTAGCACTATTTGAT